CGCATTTGTTACAATTCAATTTCATGCGCCTCGGGCCCGCCTTGAGCAAATCAATTCCGATAGTCGATCTCACCATCGTGGGGTCATCCAATAGGGTTTATTTAAGTCCCAACCAACCCCCAAGAATGCCTAAATTCTTGCCATAAATCAATGAATCAACTAAGTACTCAACTTGGACAAATTGCACAAATTCGGTAATTGAATGAACAAGTACTGTAGGGGACACATTTTGTCCACTAAATCACAATTAAACACCCTCATTAGGCTCTAGTCTCAAACCCTAATTACCCAACAACCAAGTACACTTAATTAAGCTTCAAATAAGCCTAATTAATCCCCAAAATGTCCAATTCCAAGTCATTAGCACTTGAACTTAATTAGTGCCACACTTAGACAAATATGCACATTTTCGGTACTCAATGAACAGTACCAGAACAGAGCATCATTTGGCCATTAAACCACACTTAACCAACCTCATTAAGCCTTAATGACCTATCCTAATCATCCCACACTCAAATAAACACAATTTGGCCCTAAATAAGCTTAATTAACCCCTAATTACCCCCTAAGAAACACAATTAGACTAATTAAGGGTTTAGGGGTTTGTACTCGCCTATTGATGATTCGGGACGATGAGAACGGGCGGTCGATCACCGACACGCGGTAAGGATCGACGGCGGCGTTCCAGGTGCAAGCCGGCGGTCACGGCGACGACGGGAACGACGATTTGCGGCTGGTCTTCTTCTGTTTGGGGCTGGAACCGGGCTGAGGGTGGCGATTTAGGGGAGAAAGAAAGGTCGAGGGGGGCTGAGATGATGACAGGTGGTGGCGTGTGGTGGTAGGCGGCCAGCAGCTCCGGCGGTGACACTGTTCCGGCGTGAACAGTGCCAGGAAGAGCAGAACGTGCACGGCAGAAAATGAAACGGGGAAAAGGGAGAAAATTTTGGGGGAAATGGCCGAATGATCATCAAGAAAGAGAGAGGGTCTGGTCAAATGTGGAAGCTTGGTGTGAGTGGAATCCATGTGTTTCAATCTAGGCCAATTGGACAATTTTGCCCTTGCTCCAATGTCTATCTTTCCTTCTCATCCAATAATTTAGGGGTAAAATGGTCCTTTGTCACTAACCCAAGGCTGACCAGACCTGGATTAAGTCAAACTCACCTTGGTTAAACCCCAAAAATTAACCAAATTCGGAATTGTCCAAAAATGACCTAGGGGCATTTTCGTAATTTTTCGATCCTGAACCGAAATTCCAATTTTTTTCCATACCGGTCCTATATATGCATGGCCAGCATAATACGGTGTCGGATCCTTAAAAATCATCCTTTAAGCCCTCGAAAATCAGTCCAAAAGTTTGGAGGGGCAAAACCGTAAATTCTCATTTTTCTCCCACCAAACGGCGTCGGATTAATTCCGATCCTTCACGGAACTTTCTCTCCATAAAATACCGGTTCTAAAAACCCAATTTGCGTCCCGATCGGCCCATCACGGCCCCATGAACAATAGATCACAGCCACTGTTATTTTCTAATTTCCAATAATTAATGCCCGAATTAAATCCCAAGGCCCGCCATAAAATTTCCACTACCAAATCATACAATTCCGCACCTAACTTTATACAGATTTCGCCCAAAATCGCCCGTTGATACCCGAAGTCCAAAATTGTGTTTAGAGCGCGACTTACTAAAATCAAACGAGCATTAACATACACTTCATTGGTCCCGGTAACGGGTCAAAATTCATGATGTTACAACTCTTCCCCCCTTACAAAAATTTCGTCCTCGAAATTTGTACTCTAAACTTGCTCCTCAAACAACTGGGGGTGTTGACGTCGCATGGTCTCTTCGTTTTCCCATGTAGAGCCTTCTGTCCTGTGGTGTTCCCAAACTACCTTAACCATCGGGATGGGCTTATTCCGTAATACTCGATCTTTCCAGTCCTCAATTCTGATTGGTCTCTCCACGTACGACACCCTGTCGTCCACGTCTATCTCTTCATATCTCAGAACGTGAGTCGGATTTGGTTCATACTTCCTTAACATCGACACGTGGAATACATCATATACTTAGGAGAGATTAGGCAGCGAGGTAAATCGATAGGTCAATTTTCTAATCTTTTCCAGAATATCAAACAATCCGACATACCTCGGCTCAATCTTTCTTTCTTGTCGTATTAGGACAATCTTTTCATAGGGAACACTTTGACTCACATTTGGTCCCCAATCTCAAGTTCTAAAAGTCGTCGTCCCTGATCGAGTAATTTTTCTGACGACTCTACTTATCTGTCCGACTTAAAGTCCCTTTCGCACTGCCAAAAGGTGCGCAAATCTGATCGGTCTATCAGCTGTCGTCTCAACGGATCGTGTCTTTTCTGGCTTCTCAGCAATTCCACTACAACATCCTTTGGGGCAAGTTCCCATTTCTACATTGGAAATTTCCGACGGTCACATTAGCCTTCCCGGCTTATAGTGCTGTGCCTTTTCTCATGGGCACGTCACACACTTGGTCGCAAGCTTGGCCATCTTTACCTTCACCCCATTTTTCCGGCAGTGTCGCCACAATTCGTAGCACATTTTGTACTGCTCGTGTGAACGTCGCAATTACTCTCATGGGTCTCAAATAAGATTTCCTTCTTACTCCCTACGTTGCTGGACACACCTTTGTGCTACACGGGTGAACCTTATGCTTACTGCGGAAATTTTCCATTCAAATTTTTCCTCCTCGAGTTTCGCCTCATTGGGTACACACAATCATTCCTAGAACCTCAAGATTTCTATCCCCGAATATATGGAAATCCGACTTCCTCTTATCGACATCCACCTCAATGACTCTTCGTATCTCGTGATCCACATAATGCCATTCCTTATTCTGAGCCTAGATTTTCAACTAATCCTCGAGGCGGTCAACAGATTTTACATCCGGTTCACCTCAAATTTAACTTCCGAGTCCCTGAGTCTTTCCAACAAGATTCATTCCTTGATCACCCTATACACCCCAATCGACTCACGACTTAGCGTATCGGTTACTCGTCCAACCTTTCCATGGCGATACAGGGTGTTGTAGTCAATTTTTTTTTTCCGTCATGCGTCGGCTAATTCTTTTCACGTGGCCTCAACTGGCACGACGCATAATTTGCTACTCTACCGTGTTACATCCACACACACCCAAGTCTTCTTAATGAAGCGTCACTATAGACCTCGAATTCTCCCGGTTCAGGTTGAATATTCAATACCGGGGTAATCATCAGCCTGCGCTTCAGCTCTTGGGAACTCCGTTCACAGTGATCATTCCATTCAAACGGATTTCCTTTTCAATTAGTCATGCCCATAGCACGGCTATCGACGAGAATCTTCCACAAAACGTCGATAATTGTCAGCCAAATCTACGACACTTCAAACCTCAGTTATCGGCATCAGTCCTAACCACTTAGTTATTACCTCGACCTTAGTTGGGTCCGCGAAAGTTCCATCTTCCGAGATTATACGTTCAGGGGACGCGACTCCATTGAGCCAAAGTTCGCACTTGTCATACCTGGCGTGGAGTGCGTGTTCTCTCAAAGTTCGCAATACCTCAGCCAGACTTCCTTCTTGCTCCCATGCTCCTCGAGTCTCCCAATACATCATCAATGAAAACCGTTACGAACTAATCCCATAATTCTTGGAATACTCGGTTCATTAGGTCCACAGAAGCAGCGAGGCATCTCTTAGACCAATGGGCATTACTATGAATGCGTAGTACCCATACCTCGCTTGTTAAACCGTCGTAATTATATCTCCCTTTCATATCCTTAACTGAAAATTCCAGTCCGTAACACAATCTTATGAACATTTTCCTTTCGGAATCTCCATTGGTGACATCAAATCCGTGGTTCAATCTCGGAGAACACTAAGGTCCTTACAACTGATCAGATAGATCATCGATCCTCGGCAGTAGGTACTTACTGTTTACCATTGACTGCTTCAACTGCTAGTAGTTTACGTACCGTCTCGATGTCCCGTCCGTTTTCCTCATACATAATACAGGAATTCCCCACAGGGGGCACACTAGGGCGAATAAAATTTTACCCACGAGTCCTTACATATGAACTTTCAATTCCTTTAATTTCCAATAGGGACATTCAATATTATTTCCTCGAAATCAGTTCTACTCCGGGGCCAATTCTTTCACGATTCCACTTCCCGTTCTAGTAACAACCCGGCAGTTTCTAAGGAAGGACCTCGGAAGATTACACACCTCATTTACTCTTCCAACTTTAATTCCGTCATAATCGGGTCAACCACATCCACCCCATACCCTTTGCAACCATTATCAGATACCTAGTCATCTCAAGCGAGGGCATTCAAGGAATCGAGATTCCTCCTCGACTTTCCTGAAGATCAAACCTAAGACATCCAACCGGGTTGAACTGGATCGTCCTATAGTTGCAATCCATAATGGCTTTCCGTTTTATTAGCCAATCCATTCCAATTTGAATGACCACACTGTCAGGTCGATATTCTTTTCTCTACTCCCGGTCACCATCTCATAGTTATGACGCCCCAACGACATCAACACCTTATCATTCGAAAAGAGGTTTGTTATACCAAGCGTGGGTGCAAGCTCTATAAGCTTAGTCCCAACCGATCGAACAAATTCTCCAAGTTTTCACCCTTATTGTAGATCATCAAAACGATTCGGTTAATGGTTCGGCTTTCTAATATCCTTCCTAACTGGTGGAATGAATCGCCTGTTTCCCCGCCATCTGCTTCTTCCCGAAGCGGTGGTTATCCTTAATTTGAGCAAATCACTATCCAAAAGTAGTTGCACTTTCCAATTGATCTCGCCCTATTACTTGAACTCATTCATACACTTCCCCATCATCCCTGATGTTCCGTGAGATCATTAGGCTTCGGAGATCCGACTTCAGTCCGTCTCGGAATTTCCGAACCTTGTCCTGTGGATTCTCAACCATCAAAGCGGACTCCGTTTCATATCGTTCCACAGTCATCTGCCCTCGGCGAAATCACATAAACTCCGTCAGTCCCCTTTCTTCAACATTTTCCGGGAAATATTTTTCCCCATACTCTTTAATATCATGAGATAATATCTGACTCCGAAGATTCGGCTTGAGTCCATCCCGGAATCTCCGAGTTCTATCTCGCGAATTTTCTACCATGGTCGGTGCAAACTTCGCTAGCCTGGCAAATTCCGCTTCATATTGGTCGACAGTCATCTGACCTTGGCGTAATCTCATAAATTCCATTATCTTCTTTTCTTGGGCAGTCTCCGAAAAGTACTTCTCATAAAAGCTTTCAACAAATGCAGCCCAAGTCTGGGCCGTTCCTTCCGGAAATACCCTACCTTCCGTGGCATTCCACCAGTCATTTGCACCATCCTGCAACTGGTAAACCGCCAATGTCACCTTTTCCTCATCGGTGCACCCCAGAACCTTAAAAATTTTCTCTAATTCTTCCACCCATCTTGGCGCAGTCTCGGGGTCATCACGACCATGAAACTTAGGCGGCTTCAGTTTCATAAATTGCTCCACTAGATGGGGCATCAGTCTAACCCCTGCTGGTTGGGCTTGCCCTGGATTGGCCTGATTCTCATTCACAGCAGCGGCGGCTACCATCTCAGCAGCCTGGGCTGCCACATTGTCACGCCCTTGAGCTTGCATATCCAGCACATTCCCAATCCTTTCTAACACCCGTAGAACTCCTTCCATACATGGATCTTCCACAAGTCTCACATCAACCTGAGGGTCTATTGCGGCTTCCACATTAACTCCAAGGTTTTCTACTGCTCTAGCTCGAGCACGACCTCCACCTCTGGTTCCTCTTCCTGCACCCCTTCTGGGAACTCTTCCTATACCTCTCCCCTCGCTACTCATCTTGGCTACTTGGTTCTACAACTACCTGCTATAATTCCATAAAGGAATTAAAGACTTAAACCAATCTATCCCAGTTTAAGTCCTAGGCAGGTATTAAACATCAATTAAACAATCAGCATGCGGCTTAGTAAAAACTAGCCAACTCATCACCCAAGGGATTCACATACTCACCTCGGGTCCTGCCGCACCTGCATAACACTGGTTCAATTAATCATTAAAACACTCAAACACAAGCACTCCGGAGGTACACTTAGCACACAAGGTCACCCTACGGCTACCCATGATCACTACTCCTTATCACTCCAGGGTTCGACCAGATTGGACCGAGCTGACCTTGCTCTGATACCAATTCAATCGGGGATATCACGTCCCGCACCCTACGAAGCGCAACATCCCTACCTTGGTCGGTTTGTGTGCGACGTCTCAGGACACGTCGCCGACCCCACCCCCAAAATACAGAGATCAAGCCACAAGCGGAAGCACGATATATAATTAATTATATATATCACCCAGACAAAATAAACACGAACCACGGATAGCCACACACGAATGATCACCACATAAAAACAATTTTACTCTTTTATAAACGTTTAAAGGCTTATACAATATCCATTTACAAAGAGCCAAATAAAAATGAGTCAAGGCCACGACAACAAAAAGGATTAGTGGCCAGGGTACTAGGCTGAGCTAAGATGGGCTTTAGTCAAAAAGATATAGCCCATGCTAAAGTATAATACCTAATGTACATATTTCCGTCCCCCACTGGGTGTACAGACATCGTCTTCTCAATGAAGTGGGGAATCCCAAAACGCAAGAGCGGCTCCACCATCTTTACTGCCGAGGGTATGAAATATCGGTTTTCCAACAACCGTGAGAAATCTCAGCAAGTAAAAACCACTAATCCTAAACTAGGCTAAAGTGCCCCTCCAGACAGGTAATTTAAACATGTCAATTAATGAACCAGTAAAACACTATAATTATCCTGGGCTCACAGCCCAATACAATATCTCAAAGACTTGCAGATTAGGCGTTCAACAACAATGATACTTACGTGCAATGATTCCGACCCGAAGGCCCACAAATATTACGACCCGAAGGCCACGACCCGGAGGCCAACAGTTGAATATAATGACCCGTAGGCCCGACCCAAAGGTCCACAGTTAAATAAAGCGACCCGTAGGCCCGACCCGAAGGCCACAATTAAATAAAGCGACCCGTGGGCCCGACCCGAAGGCCAACAGTTTGATAAATCGACCCGAAGGTCACAATTGGATATAATGACCCGTAAGCCCGACCCGAAGGCCAACAGTTGAATATAACGACCCGTAGACCTGACCCGAAGGTCCACAATTGAATAAAGCGACCCGTAGGCCCGACCCGAAGGCCACAATTAAATAAAGCGACCGGTAGGCCCGACCCGAAGGCCAACAGTTTGATAAATCGACCCGTAGGCCCGACCCGAAGGTCACAATTGGATATAACGACCCGTAGGCCCGACCCGAAGGCCAACAGTTGAATATAACGACCCGTAGGCCCGACCCGAAGGTCCACAGTTGAGTAAAGCGACCCGTAGGCCCGACCCGAAGGTCACAATTGGATATAACGACCCGTAGGCCCGACCCGAAGGCCGACAATTGAATATAACTCAAGCATGTACATCGTTTCACTCAATTTCAACCAATCACAACTTGATATGCAAAACATATGTTCAGGAATTTGTGTCGATACCCAAGGCGACATGCCGAATACAATTATTCCCCAAGTCAATGTATCTAACACACTCTCGGCACAATCAAATTATTCCCAATGTAATCCAACCATTTTAACATTTATTCCGCGCATTTGTTACAATTCAATTTCATGCGCCTCGGGCCCGCCTTGAGCAAATCAATTCCGATAGTCGATCTCACCATCGTGGGGTCATCCAATAGGGTTTATTTAAGTCCCAACCAACCCCCAAGAATGCCTAAATTCTTGCCATAAATCAATGAATCAACTAAGTACTCAACTTGGACAAATTGCACAAATTCGGTACTGAATGAACAGTACCAGGGCAGGACACATTTTGTCCACTAAATCACAATTAAACACCCTCATTAGGCTCTAGTCTCAAACCCTAATTACCCAACAACCAAGTACACTTAATTAAGCTTCAAATAAGCCTAATTAATCCCCAAAATGTCCAATTCCAAGTCATTAGCACTTGAACTTAATTAGTGCCACACTTAGACAAATATGCACATTTTCGGTACTCAATGAACAGTACCAGAACAGAGCATCATTTGGCTATTAAACCACACTTAACCAACCTCATTAAGCCTTAATGACCTATCCTAATCATCCCACACTCAAATAAACACAATTTGGCCCTAAATAAGCTTAATTAACCCCTAATTACCCCCTAAGAAACACAATTAGACTAATTAAGGGTTTAGGGGTTTGTACTCGCCTATTGATGATTCGGGACGACGAGAACGGGCGGTCGATCACCGACACGCGGTAAGGATCGACGGCGGCATTCCAGGTGCAAGCCGGCGGTCACGGCGACGACGAGAACGACGATTTGCGGCTGGTCTTCTTCTGTTTGGGGCTGGAACCGGGCTGAGGGTGGCGATTTAGGGGAGAAAGAAAGGTCGAGGGGGGAGCTGAGATGATGACAGGTGGTGGCGTGTGGTGGTAGGCGGCCAACAGCTCCGGCGATGACACTGTTCCGGCGTGAAAGTGCTAGGAAAAGCAGAACGTGCACGGCAGAAAAATGAAACGGGGAAAAGGGAGAAAATTTTGGGGGAAATGGCCGAATGATCATCAAGAAAGAGAGAGGGTCTGGTCAAATGTGGTCAAGCTTGGTGTGAGTGGAATCCATGTGTCTCAATCTAGGCCAATTGGACAATTTTGCCCTTACTCCAATGGCTATCTTTCCTTCTCATCCAATAATTTAGGGGTAAAATGGTCCTTTGTCACTAACCCAAGGCTGACCAGACCTGGATTAAGTCAAACTCACCTTGGTTAAACCCCAAAAATTAACCAAATTCGGAATTGTCCAAAAATGGCCTAGGGGCATTTTCGTAATTTTTCGATCCTGAACCGAAATTCCAATTTTTTTCCATACCGGTCCTATATATGCATGGCCAGCATAATACGGTGTCGGATCCTTAAAAATCATCCTTTAAGCCCTCGAAAATCAGTCCAAAAGTTTAGAGGGGCAAAACCGTAAATTCTCATTTTTCTCCCACCAAACGGCGTCGGATTAATTCCAATCCTTCACGGAACTTTCTCGCCATAAAATACCAGTTCTAAAAACCCAATTTGCGTCCCAATCGGCCCATCACGGCCCCATGAACAATAGATCACAGTCACTGTTATTTTCTAATTTCCAATAATTAATGCCCGAATTAAATCCCAAGGCCCGCCATAAAATTTCCACTACCAAATCATACAATTCCGCACCTAACTTTATACAGATTTTGTCTAAAATCGCCCGTCTATACCTGAAGTCCAAAATTGTGTTTAGAGCGCGACTTACTAAAATCAAACGAGCATTAACATACATTTCATTGGTCCCGGTAACGGGTCAAAATTCATGATGTTACAGACAAAAGGAAGAAGAAAGAAAAAAAGAAAAAAAAATTATATAAAAATTATTAAAAATTATCCACGCAAACATCAGCGGTGCCACGTAGGCTGGTCAATATCTACATCAGCAATATCCGACTAAAATTAGTCGAAAGGACTGAATTGGCATTATGTCAAAATATTTAGGATTAAATTGATACCAATGCAATAGATTTAAAACTTTTCTAACACTTATCTCGAGATTGGAAAAAAATATATTTAAGCATTTTCTTACTACAAATATATATTGTCATTCTCCATCTAAAATAATGTCAAGTATATGTTATTTTCTTGCCACCAAAATCAAGGGAGACTGATGTTTCTTGTTCTCACGAAGAGAGACCGACTTGTAAACCAAAAAAAAGAATTTGTTCTACAGTTCAGATTCTTTTTTTTTGGTAAGGTTCTACAGTTCAGATTCTTATGAACTTCTAATTGCTAAAATATTCTCACTTGGGTTTTATTTCTTGAGATAAACCAGAAGGGTCTCCTCCCATGGCAAACGGTTGCCCATCTCTTATGACTCTGAATGTGCGGCCATAACAGCACCGCGGAATATAGAAGATGACGGCACCGTCACAGTAGCCAAGTTCGAGTTCAAGTTCTTATATCTTGAATGAGTTGAATGGATCGAGAGAGATTTGGGAAGAAGGTGGCACAGACCATTTTTGAAGGGTATAAAATCGAGGAAGGTTTGGCTAATGGACCTGAGAACAGACCAAGAGACGAGTAGACCAAACTTGTTGCCTTTTCTGGAATTCTGAAAGAGCCAAGGGACAATCATGATATAAATCTCCTCTTGAGGTGTTTTGTATCAGATTTGGAGCTTGGGTTCATTTTTTTCTTATGGGAATTTAGAGAAGAAGCGAGATGAACGGAAGAAACCCTCAGAAGCAAAAGACAGCTATCATCGTGAGCGCCAAGAGTGTCGGGAGTTTGATGGCCGAAACGGTGATCTCGTATGCTTCTTAAAAGTATAGTACTAGTTCAAAAGTCATTGTAGCCAATGTTGTCATGTACCGGTAACTTAATAAGCTAAGAACGGTGCAGAGCCGAGCTCGAGTATACATCATAACTCGCAAGCAGCGCAAGGATGGTAAACCAAATGGTGAGGAGACTGCACAGAAAGTGGTAAGTAATCTTATGATATCATTCAACTCAGGCATTAGGTCGAAACAAAAACTCGAACGCTTTATTTCAGAAGTTTGACCTTATAATATGTGCTGTTAGGAAATGATGAAGCAAAAGTTCGATGAATTTTCGAATTCCAGCAAGCAAAGCAGAGACTGGTTTGCCTGGGAAGGTGATGTATAGCATGGCTTAGTATGTGGACTTGGGCTGAGTCCGATGCATCATCTTCCAAAGCATGTGGTCTTGTTCAAAAGCATCCATTGAAAACCAAAGGGCTAGAGGAAGAACTCAAAAATCGTGGAAGAGAAGCAAACACGTTTGGAGGCTGACCTTATTGCCTGTAATGAAGTCTTATTTACAGGAAGTAGTTCTGTTTTCTTTAGCGATTACAAACAAGAATTTAATCATGGCAACTATCAACCAGAATTTCACCTCAGTCTTTCTGATCTATCACCATATCATGAAGACCACAAGAGCTTGATAAAGTCGGTCTAGAGAATGAGTCTTCTCCAACTTCGGGAGAGTGATACCAGAAATACTTTGATTCCTTGTTTGAAGATTTCAAGATAATCTCTTGTTGTTAGAAAATAAGGATAAAATATTTTTTCTCGATCTGCTAGTTAGTTGTTAATATATGTAGGATTGCTTCAATCTAAATTGGGAATTTTACAATATGGTTGCCTATCTGAATTTCGTACTTTAAGGTAGGTTATGTTTTCTTTACTTGGAGGTTATTCAAAGGGATCATAGGTTCTCGGCTATGAAATATCCCGTGGGTCTTTCATTGGAGAACACAAATTGAATCATTGAATAAAGTTTTTCTTGGGTTATGTCCCTTGTTATCTTCCCTTTATTCTTCTGTCTGTCCCTTTTGGTGGATTCCTAAGCTTCGTGAGTGAAGAGATTTTTTGTATCCTTGAAGTGGCCTGCCAATGTGGAGACTCGACTAAAGGGATCTAGGTTATCTAGTTTCTTCCTTCCTATCCTCCATAAAGGAGTTTTCAACCTTGCCAAGATCGAAAAACCCTTTTATTTATTTGTTCGTTCAACACGTCCCGGCATCATTTGGTATTAGAGCTATTATTTAATTTTGTGTTCCGTACGTCCAAGCGTCATCGAATTTAGGCTGTGTTCGTTTGCGGAAAAATATTTTTCCGGAAAATATTTTTCGCGTTTTCCGGTGTTCGGGGGCGGAAAATGTTTTCCGTGGGAAAACATTTTCTTTCTCCACCCCCAGATCCTTTATTGTTTTGAGGAAAATGATTTCCTCTTTTCACAAAAAGGAAATCATTTTCCCCCAAATTGAAGGCAAAATTGCCCATGGGAAGGAAAATATTTTCCGTGGGAGAAGAAGTTGATCGCCGGTCACCACCGTTGGCCGGCCGCCCGCCGCCCGCCGGTCGCCGCCGCCGCGGCCGCCGCCGCCGGTCGCCGCCGCCGTCGCCGCTCGCCGCCGCCGGTTGCCCGCCGCCGCCCGGTCACCGGTGAAAAATATTTTCCGAAACTTTTTCATATTGGTCACCGAACACCGGAAAATTATGTTCCGGGAAAACATTTTCCAGGAAAATGACTTCCGGGAAAATATTTTTCAAAAGGAGAATATTTTCCGCCAAACGAACGGAGCTTTAATTGATCTACGTTTTTCTTGCCCAAGAACTACTTAGCCAATGCTTTACTAAAATTTTGAGATATTAACTGAGTGGTCAAATGTTTGGTTTGGACACGGCGAATCACCAGTTTAAGTCACAAACATCTTTCACTCGGAGTTGCCTAGCGATTAAGCCCGTTACACTATATATGGAGTTTTACCCAATGCACGTGAATGGACTGTATCTATATAATATTTCTTATGCAACGCCTTAGAAAGAAAATTGGCACCTTAGTAATGAGAATTGGAATGGTATTATTAATATTCTGATTAATTGAATAATGACCCGTTCGACGTAAAATTGAAGGAAATATTCTTGTTAAAAAGTGCTCCCCGGGCACTTGTGAGGAAGTAATTTAAAGCAAGTTTAAAATATTTCATAACCTTATTTTTGTGGTGTCATGTGTAATCAATATTCTGTAAATCGAATTATTCCATATTAATTATGTTTAAGGAACCAAGATTTAATTATATGAGGGTTTTAAGATGAACAACCAATTTCTTAGGCTGCGAATGATAATCATTCTGTTTCTATTTTTTTATTCTAGAAACAAGTTTGGAACAAAAATTCGTTAGGTAATGCAATTTCATTTTTCAATTTCTTGAACAAATTTTGATTTCAGAAATAGGCTTGGAATAGAAATAAGAAGTAAAAATTTTATACTTTTCTATTTCTGGAACAAAAATGAGAAATTCTTCTCATCGCTCGCCCTCGCTACTAGCCAGTCGCCCACCCACCGCCCATCGCCGCCCACTTGCCGGTCGCCGCCTCCTGTCATTCGCTGTCCCCTGCCGACGGCCGCCGTTCACCGACCACCGTCTCCCGCCGCCGATCGCCCTCCGCCCCCCGCCGCCCACTATGGGCTGCTACCCGTCGGCCACCGGCCACTGTCTCCTGCCGCCGGCCGCCCGCCTCTCGCCGCCGCCGCCCCCCTCCCACCATCGATCGTCGCTCACCTCTTGCCACTGTCGGAAGTCGGCTACCTTCGGCCTCCCCCCATCGCCCGCCTCCTGCCCCTGCCCAACGCCAGCCACCTCTAGCCATCGTCCTCCGCACTGGCTGCATTGTCGTTCGCTGTCGCCTCCCCCCACCGCCCGCCATTCGCTACCACCGTCCGCCGCCCGCCATTTGCTACCATCGTTCGCCCTCCTCCTACCGCCGGTCGTCACCCGCCTCCTGCGCTGCACAACGCCGGCCGCCTCCAGCTGCCATCCTCCGCACTGGCCGCGTGACCATCCGCCGCTACCTCCCCCCATCGTCTGCCGCCCGCCGTTTGTTGCCATCGTTCGCCGCCCGCCGTCTGTCGCCGTTATCCGTCCACTGTCCACTCGCCAATCATCCGAGAGGGAGAAATTTTGTGCCGTTATTAAACAAAATTTTGTTTCGGGATCAGAAATTTTGTATCGTTATCAAACGTGTTTTTTCGCTCAGAAACTCATCCAAAAACAGAAATAGAAAGCTAGAAATTGATTTTTGAAACAGAATGGTTGTCATTCGCAGCCTTAATGTCTAAACCAGCTAGAACCAAAGGAAAGGTGTTCAACTCCCAATCATCATCCTAAAATAAAAACTATCGGGGAGGAGCGGAAAACCCATCTGCCGTCTGCTGCCCTAACGTGGACAGCTTCACCATTTGAAGCCTTCCCTAGGTCTTCATGGCTTTCGATTTCATTTAATATTTGCAGTGTTAAGGTTGTCCAGCTACTAAAAACATCCTTCAATCCTCCAATACATCATGTTTGCACTTTCATATGCATAGATTCCCTTAACGTAATTGCTAAATTTCTGCCTAGAACTGTGGAAGTGAAATTATATTACAAGCAACCCACATGAGTACGAAGCTAGATAAGGATAACATTAAACATACTCTTCGCCTATACATGACCAATCTTAATATATTTAGTATTACACGAAAGATTGAACCTCCATGTGAAAGTGTGGCCAACGGTGCTATATACATGATTGGACTTCAAGTGCTTCTCAAGAACAATGGCATTTGCATATTGTGTGCATGTGTGTGTGTGTGTGTGTGAAAGTGAGAGAGAGAGAAGTTAGTTTGATACGATTTGGCTATGGATTAATTAAGGGTATATGCGTCGTAGATGCTGGAGATGATGCTAGAGGCTTTGGAGTTCAGTTTAAGTAAATAGCAAGCCAAACTCAAGCCTCCTTTGATAGCTCTCAAAGCCTTGAAAATACCGCTTTCAAGAGGCAATCAAGCCCAAGACACTCGCACTGTGCATGCACATGACCTCAATTTCAGAAAGCAGATCTCTCTCTCTGTCTCTCTCTCGTTTCTTCCTGTAGTTGATAACTAATGTAAATGATGACTACACTATTCAATATCTTTATTTCTCATGGGAAAATGACACAATAAATGATCTTTAAATTTTGACCTAATATGCAATGAGATTCATAAACTTTTATTTATTCAATGTGGTCTTTAAACTTTAACCTAACGAGCAATATCATCTCTGAACTTTTAATTTGTTCAATGTAGTCCCTCAACTTTTGGTACATGTCCAAATTAGTGCCCGAACTATATGAAAATGTTGAATAATGTTTCTGAACTTAAATTCTTGACATGATAACATTATATATTTCCATATAGTTGAGAAACTAGTTTGAACATTTACTCTAAGTTCAGAGACCACATTGAACAAATTAAAAGTTAAGGGACCATATCGCACATTTGATTAAATTTTAGGGACAGTTGTTGTCCTTATCACATTCCTCATTTATGTTCTTTTGGGTCCTAGTTTTTCCAATTTTTCTCAACCCTATTAAATTTTCTTTTTGTTGTTGTTGTTGTTTTTCTTAGAAGAGATCATGTCTCTTTGTGTTCCTTTTCCCTTTAGCCGTTTTCTCTTAGGTTTAATGTGCTTTTGAATATGTTATTTTAGCCCCGTTTGTTTCGCGAAAAATGAATGATTTGAAAAATATTTTTGTAAAAATAATCAACTTGTATGGCTTACAAAAATGAATGAACGAAAAATATTTTCATCGTCCACCAAAATACGTAGACATAAATTATTATTGATAATGAAAACATATTTAAATGACTAATTATTTCAAGCCATACAATTAATCATTTTTAGGATAATATTTTACAAATCATTCATTTTTCACGAAACAAACGCACCTTAGGCTTCGTTTGTTTCGTGGAAAATGTAACATTTCTGGAACAATGTTTTCCGAAAATTCATTTTCTAGGAAAATGGCAATATTTTCCGATGTTTGGTTGAGATATGAAAATAAACTGGAAAATATTTTCCGTCATATGGTAAGGAAAATTTTATTTGGTCGGAAATTACTAACATGGACGCCGGGCGTCTTACATGGCACGGCCGCGCTGACATAGATAATTTTTGTAATTTAAAAAAATCAAAATTTTTAATATTTTTTACTTTTTATTTTCTTGTTATCTTTTCTTTCTTTCCTTTTTCCTTCTTCCTCCATCGGTTGCTAGGCCTCAACAATGGCCGGTGACAAGCCATAGGTGAGGGCTGACCTCGCTAGCCTCGGGTGAGCTCGACCTCACCATATCTCGGTGAGCTTGAGGCTTGACCTTGCCACCTTGCTAGATTCGGCGAGCTCGAGCCTTGCCCGAGGCCAGTAATCACCCTCTCCTATGGTCAGTCGTAGGCTGCCATCGAGGCTCGATGACCGATGGAGGAAGAAAGAAACAGAAAAATAATAAAAAATTCGATTTAAAAAAAGATTTGTAAAAGTTGTCCACGTCAATGCTAGCTGTGCCACGTAAGACGATCAACGTCCATGTCAGCAATTTCCGAGCCTAGCATCCCGGGCACTGGTGTCCCGGGAAAATGATTTCCGATTTTTGAAAGAGGAAATCATTATTTTGAATTTAAGCTTTGGTAGGAAAAACTTTTTTGTTGACTAGGAAACCATTAAAAGTTGACTAATTTTCCTAAGCGAACCAAATACCGAAAAATGAGGAAAATTTCCTGGAAAATATTTTCCGCAAAACAAATGAAGCCTTAGTGTACATCATTTTTTCTTCTATTAATCAATACTCGAATTATCACAAATAATGTTGGTATCTTCTTCTTCTTTTTCCATCTTTCAATTTATGGCTCGGAAGTTGTATGTGTATCATCTAAGTTCGTTTATACAAGTAGAAGTGACATCACGTTTTGCCATCTACAAATGCTATAGACTCGCTAATATAAAAGACAACAAGCGCCGTCTTCGCGGTTCTTCAACTCACTAATTTAATAATTTGTTTGATCGAGACTAGAATCACTGTGCTCACCTTCGTAAAAAGAAAAATTCGTACGTGAATGAGTGAGATCATTTGCGGACGTGACCAACACAACCCCAAGAGAAGAAGAAACTGCACCTAGCGTCATTCGACCAATTCAAAGAAGGAAATCATGGAGGCCACAGGCAGATCCCACCTACACGAGCAGAATTTCTAAAAAGCAAAATGGTATCCATTGCAAGTCGGCAACCATTTGAAATGGAATGCTTATCTCATCCGAGCAACTTGTAAATTGCAAAGAAATATTAGCAATGAAGAAGAGGAATTTTAAAAATTTTAATGGTTTGAGGAATGTAAATCATAGTTTAGTGACATGATCACAAACCCATTAAACGACAGTGACCATGGTGATGTTTTTGCCAGTATTTATTGCCAGAGGATATTGGAAAGACAAAGATATGTTTGACTTTTTACCTTACCAAAAAAAAAGATATGTTTGACTTTTCATTTGGGTTTGTTTTTACTTCTCTTGATTTGACCCTCCACCGATGTCAACTTCGAGCCCCTGGAAAGTCATTGAGATAGTGAAACGTGCATTGCTTCTAATTTTAGCAAACCATGAGTAGGATTATGTTCTTATCATAAGTTGTCCATTGGTATATTTAATATTGTGTACCGTTGACAAATAAGGAAAATATGTTAGCTCTTTGATGATGAGGGTTTGCACAAGGGGGGATCTTTAATTTGTAAAGTCAACTCGTTGAGTTTGTGCAATGTCAAAAGATTTCGGCGGGTGGGGATCAGGTTTTGCTCGTAAGATCGGAAATTATCTAAAAAGTCATAAACTTATTGTACTTTTGCTAATTCAGCTCTAAATTTTTTTAATTATGCAAATTGAGTTCTAACCACTTTACGTTTTAATAATTGAGTCCTCTGCAGCACGACCGCTGTTGACGTAGATAATTTTTAATAATAATTTCATATTTTTTTCGAATTTTTCATTAAAAGTGCAATAGGTTTAGGATATTTTGGATAATATTAATGTATACAGTTGACAATTAACCATTTGCATGCGTCAAAAATATATCAATTCAACATCTCTCTTTCTCCTTCATCTATCAGTAGTTTTTTTATGATGAGGGGTTGTACAAGGGGGGACCTTTAATTTGTAAAGTCAACTAGTTGAGTTTGTGCAATGTCAAAAGATTTTGGCGGGCGACGATCAGGTTTTGCTTATAAGATGGAAAAATTATCCAAAAAGTCCTAAATCTATTACAGTTTTGTTAATTCAGTTCTAAATCTTTTTTTTTTTGTCAAAAGTCATAAACATTTTCATATTTTGCTAATTGAGTCATTCGGCCAATTTGGCCGGAAATCGTTAACGTGGACAACGGCCGTCTCACGTGACATTGTCGGCGATGAAAGTGAACGATTTTTAATAATATTTTAATATTTTCTTGAATTTTTTTTTTATTAAAAGTGTAATAGGTTTAGGATTTTCTAAACAATATTAATATGTACCGTTGACAATAAACCATTTACATGCACTGCAAATATATTAATTCAACATCTCTCTCTTTTCTCTTTCATCTATCGTTAGTTCTTTGATGATGAAATGGTTGCACGAGGAGGGGACCTTTAATTTGTAAAAGTCAACTCGTCGAGTTTGTGCAAACCGCTGCTATACATAAAAAAAAATGCGCCATTTGATTGCATGATAATACATTTTTGCATCAAAATGACGAATGTGTGTAAGCCTTTGAAAAGACATGTCCACTGGTTTCACACTAGACAAGCAAGCAAGCATTTGTAAGTACATTTATTTATGGACCAATACTAGTATATTATGATTATATTAAAAAGATAATATTTTTCCATAAGCGACCTTATCAACTATTGATTTGATGATAATAAAAGAGCAGGTGGTCGAAACTCTCAAATTAAGAGTGGATAAAATCGCTCGTGGGATTGTTTTTACCACCAGCGGTGTATGCTTTAGTTTTCCTTATTTTTCTGTTAGATCCTGGAATG